TCTTGTGGCGAACCTCAGGTACAGAGACACAGGATAGTTTCTCCAGGCCCTTCAAGGTATTATCACACATATAAAATAAAGAGACCAAGGTCATCTCTGGCGACCCTCACTGCATCTACATGGAGTTAGGCTTTACCCTTTGTTTAAGACTTACAAATGAAAACAGACTCGGGGAGGGTGTGAGGGATAGGACTAAATTCTGGAACTGCCCGCTAAAGCCTTCATCATACAAGGGAATTCAAGCAGGAACTGAGCGCAGGGGAAGGCGGAAAGACTCATTATGTTCAGCTCATTCACAGAATGGCTTATTCTTTCCTCCTAGGCTTTTTGCTGGTTTGTTTCATTGTTGCATGTTTGTTTTGCTTGTTTTGGGTTTTGTTGTTGTTTGATTTCTTTTGTTTGTGTCTTTGTTTCTCGAGACAAGGTTTCTCTTTGTAGCCTTGGCTGTCCTGCACTCACTTTATAGAACTCAGAGAGATCCATCTGCCTCTGCCTCCTGAGTGCTGGGATTAAAGGCATGCACCACCACTGCCTGGCTATTTTTGTTTTTGTTTTTAAAACACGGTGTCACTGTATAGCCTAGGCCAGCTGGCCTATAACCTTAATTATTTTTAATTTTTAAAGACTTACCTATTTATTTCATGCCTGTGGGTGTTCTGCCTACATGCATGTATGTGCAGCATGTGTGTGCCTGGTGCCCATAGAGGTCAGAAGGTGACTTTGGGTTCCCTGGAATTAGACTTATGTGTGATCGTGAACCATTATGTGACTTCTAGGAACTAAACTCAGGTCCTCTGCAAGAGCAGCTAGTGCTCTTAACTGCGGAGCCATCTCTCCAGACCCTGGCTTGGAACTTTCGCTCGTCCTGCTCCATGTCCCTGGTAACTGCTCTAACTGCAGGTGGGCACCTCCCATGCAAAGCTCCTCTGGCAGTTTCCAACTGTCTGTATTTCCAATTCCAGAGCATGCAATGGCCCCTTCTAGCCTCTGTGGGCACCAGGCATGCATGCAGTCATACATATACATGTAGGCAAACACCAATACACACAAAAGAAAAAAAATGATAAAAACCAGATGCATTTGCAAACCGCAGCAAAACAGAGTGGATTCAAGATTATCCTAAGAAGCAACATTTTTAGCTAGTTGCCTTAGAGCTCTTCTTTGAGTGGGAAAGAAGCGTTCTGATTGCAGATCTTATCACAGCGCTTACGGGGTGTTTTGTACTTCCGCTTCCATTTTTCCCTTTTGATGAAATTGCTCTTGAGCTTGAAAGATTCCAGGAACATTTGCACTTGTCATAACATAACACTTAGGATTATCTGATGAGTGGCAGCCGAACCATGCAAAGAAACGCTCAGTAATGGTATTGTGATTTCAGAAGTGTAATCCAGTTCATTATTTGCATTCTCTGGCGGTCTGCACTTGATCTATTCCAGCAATATCCGTGTTTCCTAAGGAAGCTGAAAAGTTAAAAAGGATACAGTATTTTCATATGTATGACTTCGATTTTTACAGTTGCCCTGTGATTGATCGTTTTATGATCCCTTTCTCATACAATTTCTTTTCTCTGTTTCTGCTTCTGATATGGCATGTCATACCCATTGTTAATTTCAGCAAAACTTGGCCCCACCCACTTGTGTGTCACTCAAGGGAAAGTCATCTCCCTGTAGTTTAAAGAACAACTGAGTGCCTAGGGACACTGCCTGCGGCCTGACTCCTAACTGATGACATCCATGTTTTATGCTTCATGGCAACTGTACACTTGTACCTTCATATTAGGAGATCGAGCGTGGCTGTACGCCGTGGTAACAGAGGAAAGGTGGTACTGTTCTCATAACTGATCTTCCCAAGCTGGCTCTTGCTGGCTGAGTGGTATGAGGATTGTGTTCCAAAAGAAGGGCCTCTCCAGCACAGCCAGGTAGAGGGGCAGGTTAAACAGAGAGCTCAGGTAGACCACCTAGATTCTAAGTCTTATGCCAATAGTCAGATTACTATTGAGGACACTGGCTCATTGTCTTATAAAATAAAGCGAGCTATAAAATAAAGATATTAACCACTCAGCACGCTGCCCGTCTCATACATAGAATGGAACATGTTATCTATTAAGCTGACATAGAATAGGGTGGTAAAAGCCTAGAGTGGCAGAGCAAGACAAAACACAGGAGATGCGGCCTCACTGCCAAGTGAGGTCATCTCCATGTTGTGGAAGGTCCTTTAAGCATAAATTTCCACTGAGTTCTGGGTTTCACAATGGGTACCAGCTGATATAGAAAGGGACCGAGCTGAACTATGAATTCAGCATTTCCAGTTTGTTCTGTAGACACTTCTGGTGCTACAGTTGTTCAGGACACAGGGAGGATCTGTGAAGAATTCAGGAACAAGCTTGGCATGCCCCGGGCTTTCCTGGGAACCAGTCTGGGCAGGGAGGAGGATGTGGTACCTATGATGATGATGTGCGGCCAGAACGGCAGTCATCACTGCTGTCCCTCTGAGAGGCTTAGCTGCAATGCAGGGTAAGTATGAAGAATTCACTATGTCTCAAATTGTATGCCTGCCCCCGCTCTGATCTGGTCAGGGGCAGCTCCATCACTTGAAGACCCATGGAGTGGGCCTGACCAAAGGGGCAGCAGACGGAAGATAGAATAAATGGCGAACTTTGGGAGTGGCACTGATAAAGCACAGGTTGCAGTGGGCTTTAAAATTCTACTGCTGGAAGTCATGTCGTTGGCCCAACCAGCCATTGATTGTGCTGAGCATGACTAAGCCACTGCGGGAGGCAGCCACAAGTCTCCAACAATGTCAGAGTGACCCAGACTCCCTGTCTTAAAGCTTATAAATGACCTCTGACTATGAATATGAGAAACATCAACTATTCAAGAAGCTTGTCACTAGCTAGCTTCCTGTGGTATCTGTGTATTCCTGCAGGCGAGTGGAAAGATATCTTGGGCTACAGGAGAAAATACATATATCTCATGAGGCTACCATGAAGTACCTCATCAGAAGTTAGACCATTCGAGCTGTGGACATCCCTGTATTTGGAGCAAAGGTGTGAAGAGTCCTATAGCTACAGGAATCCAGGGATATCAGGATAGATTTAACACAAAGAGCCTCTACCCTACACAAGAAGCAGGCTTTGGAGAGACATTTGTTACAGGGTGGAAAGGATAGAGTCCTAGTGTTATTTCTGTTGCTGGACTCAAAATATTCTGACACAAAGCAATGAGCTGAGCTCCTATGCACTTTTTTCTCTTTTCCCTTTAGTGGTTGCACATGGTAAGACAAAGCAAATGATTGAAAGCTCTACAGCCAACCTCATTATATCCCCATAAAGCTATTTTTATACTAAAGAGAGCAAGTGTGTGATTTATATTGGCTCACAATTCCAGATTACAATCCATCATAGCAGAAAACTCAAACTAACAATACAAAAACAAAAACAAAACAGTGACAGGATCTTAATATATATATATATATTAAGCTAGCCAGATTACATCCAGAGGCAAGAGCACAGAAAAATGGATACTTGTTACTCAGATACCTTTCTCCATTCTCATATGGTACAAGACACAGATTCAGGAAATGTTGCCACCTACTGTGGGCAGGTTCTTCCCGCATCAATTAATTTAATAAAAACAATTACCCATAAACATATCTATAGACCAAACTGATCTATCAATCCCTCACTCATTGAAATTCTCTTCATGGGTGATTCTAGATTGTGTCAAGTTGACAATTAAAACTGACAGTTGAGGATAAGATTGGTGCACAGAAAGATAGGTATACAGACATCAGCAGAGTTGGAAACTGCAGTGTTAAAGAGAAGACCTTGGCCAGTGACTTCAGGGATTTACCCTAAGGAGAATCAAGTTAGCAGTATGGTATGGTAGACCTAGATAGGTGTTTAAGGAGACATCTGTTGGACAAGAACGTTCTCCTCAGCAGCAAAGGCACTATGAGCTTTCTAAAGTTCCCTGGAGTTCAGATATAACAACAGCACAAAATGAACTTGGAAAATGATAGGCTTTTCACTAGGGAAAAGCATACTCAATGCTGATCCAAGATCATGACTTGTAAGTGTGGGACTAGTTGGTGATATCCTTCTTTGCAATTTATGCATTCACTAAACATTTGAAGCAACGTAAATGCTAGAAACCAAGTTGATGGGATTGAAATTTTAATATAGCTGAAAACTTCTGGGTCTTCAGTGGTTTTGTTTTAGTCCTGTTTAGAGGTGGATTGTTCTTTTAGAACGCTAATGTTCCATGAGCAACTAGTCAAGTCAAAACTTGGGCATTCACTTGCTAGGACGACCAACAGTAATTTAAACATATGTCATGTGTTCTCATGCGCCCTTGGTCTGAAACGCTGAGATAAGCTGTTGGCAGGTTTGATTCCTTCCACGAATTGTGAGGTTAGGATCTGTCTTATTTACTTTTCCTGTTGCTGTGATAACATACCTAAATGGGAACTTAAGGGAAAGGGAGATTTATTTCAACTCACAGTTCAGGAGTACTGTCTGTCCTGGCAGTAAAGTCCTGGTAGTAGGAGGTGGAGGCAGACACTCACATTGCAGCCACGCCCATTCAGGAAGCACCTGGAGAAATGCCTATGTTTGGCTCCCTTTCTTCTCCTTATTCAGGTTCAGACCCGAGCCCATATGATGAGCTGACAGTTAATGTAGACCTCCTACCTCAGTTAATATAATTGAGATAATTCCACACAGGCATGCCAAGAGCCCTGTCTCGCATGTGATTCTAGACCTCAGTGTCAACGCCAAATGACAATTGAGATTTTGCCCACCTCCGGTTCTATGACTTTAGATTTCCATCTTCCACAGATAACTTCGCACCATCCTCCTTCCTTGGTGGCATCCCAGTGGCCTCTTTGAAGAGGCCATCATGTATGCAGTAGATTAGGGCCTACTCTACAGACCTCACTTTGATTCCTTTCCCAGTGACCCTTGTTTCTACTTATAATCCTTTTCTTGTTCCCTTTTAAAGATTGCACATGGCAAGTCAAAGCAAATGATCGAAAGTTCCATGAACAACCTCATTTTATGAACACCAAATTCTTTTGTATTAAGGAGAGCAAATATGCGGTAAGTTAATGATAGATTTGTTTTTTTTATAATAGTCTGGGTTTGCCTGGTCACTGTCATGTTTGTTACCTTTGAACAGTACCTTCCATCTACGTAACCACTAGCCTGGGTCTGTTAATAACCATCCCTCATCCTATAGAATGTCATTTTTATTAAAGTTTAACTGCTCTGAAGGTTGGAATGTGTGACTTGAAGCAAAGTAGAGTTATGTCAGTGGAAATGTCCCCTGTGTAGCTGCAAAATATTCATGCTAAAATATTTTATGAAAATTCTAAGATATTGTCACTGAAGTCTTTTTTTTTTTTTTTAATTTGAGTAATGAGTGACTTGACTTGACTGCCTTGGATGGGTTTAGAGATATCAAAGATATTTTCACTTAAAATGCTTATTTCCTTTAAAATATGATAAAGCATATAGACAAGTGGGGTTGGAGAGGGTTCAAGTTAAGAGTGCTTGATACTCTTGCAGAGGACCCTGGTTCAGTTCCCAGCACCCACATGGCAACTGCTTGTAACTCCAGTTCCTGAAAGTATGGCACCCTCTTCTGGCCTCTGCAAGGACCAGGCAGGCATGTTGTGTACATACATACATGCAGATGAAACATTCATATGCATAATATAAAAATCGGTAAGCCTATAAAAAAGAATGCAGGCAAATATTAATTAAAAGCAGAGAAAAGAATTTATTCAGTGTAGGCACACTGAGAACGTCTCCAGATCTTCCCATGAGGTGAAGGATAACTAGAGAAAGAGAAGTATGCATCGCTAAGCTGTCCCTGTCAATATGTTGTTAACCCTTCTCTGGCCCGTCACCCTGATGGCTCTAGTCAGATCTTCAATGCCATTTGACAAGTTGTCATAACTGTGTGAAATCTCTTTCCAGGAGAGAACTTCCTCCTCTGGCTGGCACCGGGTTTCAGCCTTTTTCTTCTCCCAGCCTGAGATTCTTGGAAACATTCTGAATTCTTAGGGACTATTGTTTCAATAGTTTGATAGCCATAGACAAGGGTGTAAGGCTTATCCTCAGAATATCTTTCCTCCTGCTAGTTCCACAAGAGTTCCACAGCTGTGTGGCTTAGCAAACAACTCTATTTTCTAATTGTTCAGGGAGTTGGAAGTCCAGAGTCAAGGGGCTGACAAAGTAGGTTCCTTAAGAAAATTTCAAAATCAAATTCATGCCTGTTCCAACACTTGGTGAAACTCAGCATTCTTTGGCTTGTAAACACATCACCCTAATCCCTGCTTCTGTCTCCTCTCTTTGTGTCTCTGGATCCAGTACATCCCACCTTCCTATGAGGCACTGGTTCTCAATCTTCCTAATGCTATGACTATTTAGTATAGTTCCTTGTGCTGTGGTGAGCTCTAACTGTAAAATTACTTTTGTTGCTACTTCATAACTGTGATGTTGCTACTGTTATGAACTGTAATGTAAATGTCTGTGTTTTCTGATGGTCTTAGGTGACCACTATTTAATGGTCTTTCCACCCCAACTCTCCTTCCCAAAGGAGTCAAAACCTACAGGTTTAGAACTATCACTATAAGGACACCAGTCATTAGCTTAGAACTCCTGATCCACTGTGAAGTCATTTTGATTTTGTCTGCCAAGACCTGCTAGATAAGATCTTGTTAGCAGGCGTTAGCGTTAGGCTCTGGTATGCCTTTTTGGAGGACACGGTCAGCCTGCAGGAAATGTTTTTTGCTTTTTCTGACACAGTGGCCTTCATCTTCCTTTAATAAAAGGCACTTTCCTGCTCTGTCCCTCTTGGCATCCATCTTTTTCCCCAACTCCTAAGAAGTACTATGGATCAAGAAATGTGACTGCATAATTTACCACAAGGTCACAGTCCGGTGTCTGTATCCTGTGGTTTAGACTCTGAAATCGTTCCAAGCCTGGATAGAATGAAAAACTTAAAATCTCAGCGTTCTTCTGGCTGGAGAGTCATAGCCCTGGGTTTTGACAAGCTATGGGAACTAGCGATTTGTGCGGGTGGGTCTGCTCCGTGTATGGCACCATTCCCAATAATTCGTTGTGTTTGTTTGTTTGCCTTGTTTCCAACAGAGCAATGCAATTAAAACATACAAGTACAATGGATTTTCCTTTCTACCCATGAATTTGTTTGAGCAGTTTAAGAGAGCAGCCAATTTCTACTTCCTGATCCTCCTTATTTTGCAGGTAATGCCCTTTGATGCCTTGACTCTGTTGTCAGTGATGTATGCTGAAAGTATGCAGCAAGTAGACAATCTCAAAGATGCTTTCTATTTAAATCAGGGTTATCTCCATAAGGGATCTGTGCCTCCTGTGAGAACCAGCCCAGCAAGTAATTTAGAGGCAACAAACGGCAATACCATTCTGGTTCTATTTTGCATTTTTGTTTCGGATATGGGAGATTCAACTTTAGATCTCATATATGCTCTACCATTGAGCTAGACCTTCAGCCCCCTCTTTACTGTTTTATTTGAGGCAGAGTCTCACCCACTTGCCCAGGCAAGCCTTGAAGTTGTAGTCATCCCTCTTCGTTCTCCTAAATTGCTGGGATTATAGGCCTGGGCCAACTGGCGTGGTTTAATTCTGTTTGTAAAAAACTGATCTGGGGGCTGGAGAGATGGCTCAGTGGTTAAGAACACTGCCCTTCCAGAGATCCTAACTTCAATTCCCACCAGCCACCTGGTGACTCACAACCATCTATAATGGGATCTGATGCTCTTCTGGCATGTAGGTGTACGTGCAGATAGGGCACTCATGCTCTTAAATAAAGAAATCATTCTTTTTTTTAAAAAAAAAAAAAGAAAAAAGCAAACAAACTGATTTTTGTACTGATCTGGGTGATAAAAGTGTATCCCTAAAGTAAATAAAAACTGAACTATGTGCTTTATAAAACTATCTGCACCTTAAGATTAGTAGGATCTTTTTACTGTGTTTGTCTTTTTTTTTTTTTTAACTTAGTCACCTGTTTTTCCATAAGGATACTTTTGATTATAAAGCTTCTAAGTTATTTATGTGTGTGAATTGGTTTCACATTAGAAATAAAGCACTTTTTTTTTTTTAAGCCAAGGAGTCATTATCTGGAGCATTAGACTTTCATCTGTATAGAAATGGTTGCCATAATCAAGGGACTCTACGCATTTAATTAGTGCTCACAATCAACCTTTAGTACCTGATATGTGGGTTATAAAGAGAAAGCAGTCGGTTGGCTTTATCAGATTCTTTATCATGAGGGTTGGATTGGAAAACACCCAACCACTGTGATTTGCTAACAAAGCCTTAAAAATATAGTAACGTGTGTCTGAGAGGGATGTAGGGTATGTGGAGCAGAGAGTATAGAAGAGGGAGAAAAGACACCAGGAAGAAGTAGATACTCAACAGATGTGTGGAGACATTAGACCTGCTAACCAGAATGGAAAGGGTGTGTTGCCCGGCAAGTGTAGATGTCTACACTTCAAATCATATTAGTTTCTCTGTTGTCAGTGGGCTACTTTCCAGTCACCTACTTCTAGAAACAAAAAGACAGAGTGACATGTCCATGATAGAGCTGCAGCTGATATACTTTCTCTTAAGGTACCTTAGGGTGACTGCAATGGACAGGCTGTTTGCCTGCTTACTTGCTGTCCATGAGGTAAACACCAGCACAGACTTCATCTTGCAGAGAAGAGCTCAGGGTTACTGTGGTAAAGTAACTTTCCCAAAGCCGGAGAGCCTTGAATGTGTAGAGCTGAACAGTCTTGAACTCTGGAACTTAACTTCAAAGAACAAGATGTGGTCCAGAGATTAGCAAATGATTCTGAGAGATCTTTTCTAAAGATGTATCCATTCCACCTCCACCTCTTGATGAAATGGAGCTTTGTTTCCTGGGCCAGTGGTAAAGACCATGGTGGGAGCTTTGCCTAATCAGTTGCCTTCAGAAGCAGCCATCCGTATTGCCATCTTTAGTTGCATTGCAGGACCACAGTAACCAATGACTGAGCCCATTGCTGCTTAGAGCCAAAGCCTCCTTCCTCCCCACCCCACCCACTTTGAATTTGTACAAACCAGTCTAGAGCAGTTGTGATGAAATCCCCCTGTAATGTCTAGTTAAAGCCACAGTGAGATGGTTTCTGGGACCCCTGTCTGCCAGACTGTTCCATGTGCCGGAAGCTGGTGAGAACCAGCAGAATGGCGCACAAATGTCCTTTTCTCACTGCACTCCAGTGTATAGACTTGTTCGATGATAGACACTGGATTTTAGCAAGCTTAAAACCAAGTATCCACTATCTGCAAGTTAGCTATGCTCTTGTGGAAACCTATGTATGCAAGCTTTTCATTTTCTTTTAGGCGATTCCTCAAATCTCCACCCTGGCATGGTATACCACACTTTTTCCCCTACTTCTGGTGCTGGGCATCACAGCCATCAAAGATCTGGTAGATGACGTGGTAAGGATTGCAAAAGCCACTTTCTTCTTATCATTCTGACCTTACTGACATTTGTTGGAAGATGTCTTATGTGTTGAGATGATCCAAATAATACTTCCGCATCTTCCTTCCAAAGGCGCGACATAAAATGGACAAGGAAATCAACAACAGGACGTGTGAAGTCATTAAGGATGGCAGGTACCTATTTTTTAATTTAGCTACAAAGATTTCATGTGTAAATATGTATAAGCATATTGAAAAATAACAATTACCGCTTGGAAGTCTGTGGCACATTACGCCTGTGTGTGTGTGTGTTTGTATGTGTTCCTGTGAGTTGGGGAGGGTACACGCACTAGTACAAGTTCATGTGGACACAAGTGCCTATGCACATGGTGTCAGGAGTCCAGGTTGGGCATCTTTCCACAGATGCTACCGACCTTCCTTTTTGAAATCATGTCTCTCAAGGTGCTGGGACTCACCAAGCGAGCCCAGGGGTCTGCCTATTTCTCCTTTCCTAGTGCTGGAATTACAAGCACACACTGCCTCCCGTTCCTGGCTTTTTTGCGTGGGCTTGAGGATCACACTCGGGTCCTGCCAGAGCCATCTTCTCAAGTACGTTAGATAGAGAGTCATCTCTCATATCGCCTCTCCTTTAGGGCTGTGGAGCTGAACCCAAATTGGAATGTGTGCGGTGGATGATGAGGCTTGTGCTACCAGAATTCGGAGCTCTTACACAGCCTGCTTGCTCCAGGCTGTTGCTTCTCTGTCCACCCTTCCCAAATTGCTCATACAGGAAGTCCACGCACTTTTCCTAATTTGCCACCTAAACTAATTTCTCCCACCTCTCCACTTTCAGAACATTCAGTGCTCATTATTTCATGGTATAAACTGCATCGGAATTATTGATGTAGGTTTCTCCCCTCCTGGCCCAGACTACGTCCTGCATCTAACATGCAGAAAGTATTCAATAAACTCTTATTCAAGGAACACAGAAAACAGTCAACTCTAGCCAGGTCAACCAACTTAAGGATCAGTAATGAGTTGTCTTATGAGAAAGAGCCCCAGGGAAGGACTCCAAAGACAAGTGATAAAAATAGGAATGAAAACCCAACTCAAAAGACTGCTGAATGGGCCCACCATTGAGAAAATAACCGAATTTATAGCCACACCTCCGTGGCACTTAGTCCAAAATAGATGCTACCAGGTTGTAAGTGTTGACATAGGTTGTTCTCTTTCTTTCTCTCTCTCTCTGTAAAGAAATGGGTTCTGGGCTGGAAGTTACCTCTGGAATTACCCAGAGTCAGTATTGTGAATGGGGGTGAGATTCTTTGCCATCATACCTCACTATTTAGTGAATATCAGTGACACAGGTAATGTGCAGCCCTGACGCTAGGGAATGCAGAGCATGCACACACACACACACACACACACACACACACACACACACACACACACACACATACACACACGCACACACACGCTGTCCTGAACCTGGAGCTGAGGATCATTTCCAGCAGCTCCAGCAGACCCTGGCAGGTCCTAACAGCAGATCAAGCCTTGTGTAGTGAGATAGGCCCAGAAGCCTCCTCCAGGAAAAGTGTCACATGACTCAGCCCAACGGAATGGCTTCTGATGTCCCCAGAGTAGGGACATAAAGTTACTAATGTGCCCTATGTAATTTGGGATCAACACATACATTTCTAAATCATAATATAAGCAATATTATAATATGAAATTAGATATCAACTTCCCTTTGCTTTCTGTTTTTGTTGTTGTTTATGTGTCTGCTACCTTTATTATTGTTTTGGGGGCTGGAGCCTGGAGTCAGGACCATACACGTGAACTTGCACTCTGGTCACGAAGCACCATCTCTAGCCCTTAGAATTTCATTTCCTGAGTGATTAGCCAAGTTCATTTTTAAAAGTTCTGTCACTGGGAATTCAAATTCTTACAAGTTGGAGAAACAGGATATTAGTAAATACTTAAAATGCATTTTAAATGCCCAGTTCTCTGTTATTTGTAAGCACATGGGAGGAAAACATAGTAACTAGATGTGTGTGTTCAGAAAACGGCTTTATTGGTTACTTAGGGTCGTCATGGCCATTACCACAAAGTATCTGAAACTTTTGCCTGAGAAATTTTTATGAAAGCTCAGGTATGTAAGTGTATAAAATACATATATGAATCAACTATTATCTATTAAAAAAAACATAAAATTTCTTTTAAAACAAATCTTTACCATTTATTAAGGATGAAAGTACATTTTCATACTAATGGGATAATTGTGCTTATTTACTTTTACATGAAGAATTAGGTCTCAGATGAACATTTGACACTGCAGGACTTAGAATAGCTTTGGCACTTTTCAGTTGGCCAATATTTTGTTATTTTTGAATCATTACTGCTGGCAACTCGATTCCATATAAATACATAGTACAAATGGTAGAAGTAAGTTTAAAGCCACTGAAGAAATTGTTGCAAATTCTATCGTAATCCTAAGCCAGAATTTATTTAATACTTCATGCCTGTGCATGTTTTTTTTTTTTTAAACAAAAGTCAAGTAAGAAACTTAAAACCAGAAAATTTTAAATTTATTTTAAAATTTTTTGGGTTATCATACAAAGCAATGAGCTTCATTATGACATTTTCATCAAATATGTCATACTTTATTCTCAACAATTCCCTTCCAGCAATTTTTAAGATCAAGCATTCTAGCATAATACAAAGATGTACTAGCTTTCTGAGAAATATGACAGAAAATAGTAAAGTCTCCGTTTTCCACATTTAAACAGTTATGTCTAGAAAAACAGAAAACACTTGTGTGTACGATGAAAATGCCACAGTCCTGACAAGCGATAGTCTTGAACCTGGGCTGAGGCCTTCAGTGATCATTGGCAGAACCAATCTCTCAGAAACACCCCAGGATCCTTAAGCATTTGACTTTGAACTTTGAGTTATTGTATGTTCAGAAGTCTATTACTGTTGCCAACATTTTCCAAATCTTCCCATTCAGTTACACGACCTCATATGGAACACAATCCCCAGGTTTATGAAGCTGTCAGTACGACTTTCATTTTTGTGAAAACCTTTGGGGCAGAGTATTCTAGTTTGAAGCTTTTTAATCATTGATTCCTCAGAGAGTTATCCTGTGGAATTTTGAAAACGAGAGGAACCCAGCTTTAAGGCCTGTATGGATTCTTGGTGGCCCTTAGGGAAATCATGTGTTTCTGTCCTCAGTATACCAGCACTAAGCAGGTGAAAGAAATCAAGAGAAAAATAAATAAACAAACAAAGCAGGGAGGGATAGCAAGCCCTGAGCAGGACTAGCCACTGTCCCCACCACGTGTTGAAGTGCCACTTGTGGGTCCTTCCTTATATGAGGTAAGGTGGAAAGAACCCAGCAAAGTACTCCAGTGCCTTTCAAGTTGGCGTGGGTAACTCCTATGGCATCACTGGAAGGGAGAACTTGTAGCAAACACTTTCCTGTGACCTGATCATTTTCCAGAATCTTTGACACTCAGGAAAGAGCGATAACTTCTTGGCCTGAAAACTTAAAAACCCACACTGTCGTTATTTTTGATTCTTAGGTTCAAAATTATCAAGTGGAAAGACATCCAAGTTGGCGATGTCCTCCGTCTAAAGAAGAATGATTTCATTCCAGTGAGTGAGCAACTTCTTTTCTTAACTTCTCCTGTGCACTCCCACTCTCTCCCCCCCACCCCTGCCCCTTCCACCCGGGGCCCTGTGTGACAGGCATATTTTGTTTTCGACAGGCTGACATCCTGCTGTTGTCCAGCTCGGAGCCTAACAGCCTCTGCTACGTAGAAACGGCCGAGCTGGATGGGTGAGTGTGTCTTGGGTGGGGCTGTTCCAAAGGTGGCCTGGAAGGGAACATGCATTCCATATTCTGGGTAGGAAGCCCTGAGTGTTGGCCTTTGCCTCGGCTGCGGTCTGACAGTGTCCACAGTGGACTGACTCCTATTCTTCTAGAAAAATGGAGCTTTCCCTACAAAATGGGGCTGTTCCCTGCCTCCCATCAAGACCCCATACCCGATCCCCTTATAAACTGCTGAGCAGTGATCAGACTCACAGCGTGACCATGGATACTATTAAATCTTCAGAAATGAGACTGGGTTCTTTGCCAATGAACAATTTTGAATTCTTGTATTATTCTTAGAATAAAGTGTTGGGAATTTTTTTTTGAGCAATTTTCAGTAGACTTATTGAGTACTTACTCGCATGTAAACATTTCTAAGTATTAGCTCATTTAACCTTTTTAACAGCTGTATAATTATTATCACGTGAGGAAGCTGAGGCCCAGGGAGGGGGAGTAGCCCATCGAAGATCACACAGGAAGGGACAGTCATGACTCTGCTCTTGGTCCTCATATCCCAGATACTCACCCACAGCTTTATGGAGAGCTAGAATCACAGGAGTGGAGAGCTGGCCTTCTCCGGAAATCAGCTAACTGATCATCCAGTCTTAGCAGGGGCACAGCTCTTATTCCCAGTGCTGAGAACTTCTGAAACTTTAGAGAGACGGGAAGTCCCATCAGGCCTTGCCAGAACTCAATGGTGGAGCTGTCAGGAGGAGTCAGCCTCCTAAGGAGCAGAGGCCCCTGTGTGACCACTCCTGAGAAGGCAGCCTGGTCCTCCTAGGGTGATGAGCCTGCCTGGCCCCAGGGAACGCTCATACATGCCTTGTGCTGTGGTTTGAGTGGCCTAAATATTCCCACTACCTCCTACCCCTGGATAGAGTTGCCTTGTAGAAACACATACAGTTGTCTGCTCTAGACAACCTATGGACAGAAGAAGGTGCTCAGCAGGGTGTCTGTGCTGAGTCTGTCTTGCATACCATCAGAGCATGGCAGCATGCTGTGGGCCAGGTTGGGGGCAAGAGGCACACTTGAAGAGAAGGCTGGCACAGTGGCACACAGCAAAAGGCCAAGGTACATCTTCAGTTTATAATCTTGCTGGAGTATCAGATTGGCCCATCTAAACTTACAATTAGTTTGAAGCTAACGATTAAGAATCAGTCACTCCTAGATAGGAAGAATATTACTCCGTGGAATTTTCTCTTTGTCCTCATGAGCTCCAAATTGTGCTCCTTTAATTCTATATCCCTCACTTCTCTGTAGAGAAACCAACTTGAAGTTCAAAATGGCCCTGGAAATCACAGATCAGTATCTCCAAAGAGAAGATAACTTGGCAACGTTTGATGGTTTGTAGAGAACTATCTTACTTTGTTTTAAACTATAGTTTCGTTCAGTCTCCACTGGTTAAACCTGGGGCCTTTTCTATTTGACTGACTATGTGAATTATAACTTCTGAAAAAAGGTTTCATTGAATGTGAAGAACCAAACAATCGGTTAGACAAGTTCACGGGAACGCTGTTTTGGAGGAACCGAAGTTTTCCTTTGGACGCTGATAAAATCCTGTTACGTGGCTGTGTCATTAGGAACACCGATGTCTGCCATGGCTTGGTCATTTTTGCAGGTACTTTCTGAATGTGCTTCCAATTCTTAGGATTTAAAGAAAGAGCTAAGCTGTGCATGGTGGCTCACCCTGCAGTCCCAGTACTTGGCAGGCAGAGGCAGACGAATTGCCATAGTTCGAGGCCAGCCTGGTCTACAAAGCAAGTTCAGGACAGCCAAGGCTACACAGAGAAACCCTGTCTCAAAAAAAAAATGCTAAAAAAAAAAAGAAAAAGAAAGGAAGGAAGAAAAAGAGCGAGTGAGCGAGTTGAGCATATTGGATTAAGGATGTTATCCCAGTACTCAGGAGGCTGAGGCAGGAAGGCTGATATTCCATTAGTGGTGGGAAATGCTTTTCTATTCTTTTCTCACCAAAAGCATAGAAAGAGTGATTTCAGCGACACGCTTATTAATTGAATTTTCCAACTACTAATGACATTGATTTTTCCATGTTTAGGTGCTGACACTAAGATAATGAAGAACAGTGGGAAGACCAGATTTAAAAGAACTAAGATCGATTACTTGATGAACTACATGGTGTACACGGTACTCGCTTTTCATTCTGGTAGAAAAGAGACTAGATTGCTGGGTTTTGCTCTAATTTTGATGTATGTTTTTCTAATGATTTCACATCTCTACATGGAGGGCAAAGAGGCCTGGGTACAACAAGCCTAATGGGATGGATGTAAAGGGACTCCCAAGTCTTTTCTGAGAAATTCCACATTTCCAGCAGGAGAGCCCCATTGGAAAGAGAAATTTCAGAGGCTGCTCCCTGGTGTTTCATGGTTGGCTATTGACCAGTAAATAAAAAAGGGGGGGGCACTACATCAAGGTCACATCAAGGCCTTTAATACAGTTGTTAGGGTCACAGCCTGGACCCTGGAAATTTTATTACTACTGCAAATAATATAAGTATTTCTAGGAAATTTGAAAAAAAAAAAAAAAGAGTTGAGACAAGGTCTTGCTCTGTAGCTCAGGCTGGCTTGAATTTTTTTGTCCCATAAAAATATGCTTCTCAATACCATAACATGGTATCTATTGTACATTAGACAGTCTTGTCTACCATATTAGTTACCTTTCTGTTGCTATGATAAAATACCGTGCCCAAAAGCAACTTAGAGGGGAAAGGGGTTTTTGGCTCATGGTTCCCAGTAAATAGAGTCTATCACTTGGGAAGGCCTCAACTAGCCAAGGAAGTTTAAGGTGGGCCTGACAATCAGGAATTAGCAAACAGGAAGTGGAACCAAGCTACAGAACCTCAAGTCCCACCCCTGAGTGATAGTCTTCCTCCAGCAAGCCTCCCCTGTTGAAAACTTCACAACCTTCTCAAACCATGCATTAATGATGTTACACAACTCCTACAATATTGAATGTGTATGAATAATTACTCAAGCGTGAGAAACAGTTCCCTGCCTTTCAAAAAAAAAAGCCAGATATGGTGGCCCATTCCTATATTCCCAGCATTTGACAACTGAGACAGGATTGAGAGTTCAGAGCCTGTCTGGATTACAGAGTAAAGCCCATCTCAGAAAACAAAACAGGCCTGCCTGGCAGTAAAGCTCAATTGGTAGAGAATTTGTCTAGCATGAAGGAAACCTCTTTACCTCATAAACAGAGTATAGTGGCACCCAGAAAGTAGAGACAGATCAGGTGAATTCAAAAGGCTATGGTCATCCTCAAGAATATAGGGAGTTCAGAGGTGCATGGGCTACATGAGACCTTTTCTCAAAAGAAAGGGGGACGGAGAAAGAAAACACTTTCATTCAGCTTTTTTACAAACCTCTCAATCTGGTATTCTTTGAAGTTGTTTCCTGCTAAGATGAAGCATCTTCACAAACAATATGTCATTGCTCAAAGTGATAATAGCGGAGAGGCTTCCTTGTCGTAGAAATGACTTTAAGAATTTAGTATAAGACATCAGCTCCTCGTTTGAAATATTATTCTGGGAAGAAAGCCTCACCTCATGAATGTAAAGCAATCAGTCATAACTTTGTATACTTTCAGAGCATCCTTACCGTCCTGTGGTCTTTTCAACGTAAGCTTTTCACAAACCATTAGAAAGTAATGTTTATGTAAAGTACTAACTATTGCTATGAGAGTCTGTGAAACGTATGGTGTTGGAAATCTGCTTCACAACTCATGTCTTCCAGATCATTATTTTACTCATCCTGGTTTCTGCCGGCCTTGCCATTGGCCATGCTTACTGGGAAGCACAAGTTGGCAATTATTCTTGGTACCTCTATGATGGAGAAAATGCCACACCCTCCTACCGGGGCTTCCTGAATTTCTGGGGCTACATCATTGTGCTGAACACCATGGTACCCATCTCTCTCTATGTCAGGTAAGCCTCTCCTTGGCCCCTTGCGTTTAGGCAAGAATGTAGTGTCTTTTCCCAATCGATCCTTCAAGTTTAGCAATAATAGTTTCAAAGGTCAAAAGGAAGAGGAAATTAATTTCCACTCTGGCACTGAGGGTGAGGTAGGGGAAGAGTATGAACTTTGAATGTCTGCTCTGTGCCAGGCACTTTCTATCTTGTCCTCGGTGCAGATAAGGCCAGTAACGTCCCATGGTCAAAGGTGACAAGTCATTTGCTTGGTGAGTCCTTCTTAGTGTGTTCCAAAGCACAGGGTTCAAAGAGTCTGGGGAAAGGTGTAGATTCCAAATGCCATGGAAACATCCTTCCTCTTCCAGAGCCTTTCTGTGCTCTTCATAGAACCTTCTTTACTACCGTTGCTCCAGCTTTGCTCGCCTGCCAGACCCCTGCTTTCTGCCACTACCTCTTGGCAGGAAAGGTGTCCCCTGCCGTCCTTTGGCCTCCCTAAATGCTGATTCTATGTGCAATGCCAATCCCAACAAGAGGTCAGGGTCACAGCCTCTAGTTTATAATCCTCCTTTGTCTCTTTCTTCTTCCTCTCATATCAAAGTTCACGATTATTAACCAGTTGGATTTGGGCCCTTTGGAGGAGAGACGATGCCTTCTAATACGTAGAGTAGCCAGTCAGGCACTGCCCCAACGAACAATAGCCCAGAGTCACTTGGGATCTCACACTCATGCGTCATTAGAAGCCTGCACTTAATTTAAATTTTATTGCACGTGCATTTGTTTTGATTTTATTTGATTTTTAGCAATATATTACTCATATTCTCTGAGTGGGAAGGAAGTCCCTGCAGCTGCCCTCTGTTCAGTAGCCACTTTAAAAGAAACCAAGATGGAGGAGGTGCTGAGGAGATGGCTCAGTGGGCAGAGTGCTTTATTGAACAAGCAAGAAGATGAGCTTGAATTGCCAGCATCCACCTAAGAGCTGGCTATGCTGGCGTGTGTCTCTAACCCCAGTGCTTCAGGGAGAGGAATGGTGATAGGGTACCTGGAGACAGGTAGATCCTCGGGACTCACTGGCCAGCAAGTCTTACAAAATGGTGAGCTCCGGGTTCACTGAGGGACACCATTTCAAAATACAAGATGGAGAGCAAAGAAGGAAGACCCCTGAGTGACCCCTGGCCTTCAGATGCATGTGCATGAGCAAGCACACCAGCATCTTTTATTTATTCATTTGTTTGTTTTGTTTTGTTGCAACATGGTTTCTCTGTCCTGGAGACACTTGGCTTGGCTGATCCTGGAGTCACTCTGTGATGAGGCTCGCCTCAAACTCACAGACATCCACCCGCCTCCGTCTCCCTGAGTGTTGGGATTACAGGCATGTGCCACCTCACCGGGCTCCTTTTTAAGCAAGATCTCCCACTCAACCTGAAGCTCTCAGGAGCTTGGCTAGACTGACTGGCGGAAAGCTCTGGAGAGCCCCCCCACCCTCCACCTCCCAGTGCTGGATTACAGGCTGACATTGCTGTATCCTGCTTTCTGTGCAGGAACTGAGAAATCAAACTGCTCAAGTTCACCTTACCAACTGAGTAATCTCCCCAGCCCTGCTTGTTTGTTTGTTGTTTTGACAAGGTCTTTATATTCCTGGCCTGGAACTCATGTTCAGAACAGGCTGACCCTCAGCTTGTAGCAATCCCCCTGCCCCCGCCCCCCCCCCCCCCGAGTGTTGGGACTACAGACACATCCCACCACACTGGACCATCTGTTCTCTTTCATTTCCTTCAGGCCTCCACTCAGGTGTTACCTTATCCCCTAGTCTCTATCTCCCCTGATCTAAATGGTCACTTCCCCTTCCTGTTGGTCTCCATCTCCTGTTCTCTGTTTTCATTGTCTGCAGAGAATGCACAGGCCCTGTGAGCTCATAGTTTGCTGGGCTGTTTTTATCTGTCTGCTTAAGAACATGGGTTTCATCTGCTTTGTTTGCGGTGGTTCAACACCAAGTAGGGCTGCTGTTTGGAAGGGAGAGTTATTTCCATTCATTGAACTGGTTATGCAGCCATGCGCTGTCCACTTAGCAGTTCCTGGGTATCCGAACAGCCTTCTCACAGCTGAGTTTTAAGATCAACACAGTCCTCTTAGGGTATCTCATTTGGGATATTCTGTAGCTTCTAGGAATTTAGGAAGTGAATATACTTTTCCACAGTGTGGAAAGCAATCAAAATGCTAGTTGTTAGAGACTTGATTCATTTGAGACACAATGGTGGGTCACCTGGTGGACCCCAATGCACTCTGAACAGGTAAACTTGGCCATCCCAATTGTCTCTATGTGTGAGGGGCAATGAAAGAAAAGAATGATGTGATTGTCTCTGTTGTTCTGTCCTAATGTCCCTGTCACTCTCCCCTCCTGGGCTGTGTATTTTAGATGCGGAGTGCTTAGCTATGGCTTATGTGCTAGGGAGTGAGTTAGGAAGTCACACTGGAGAGGCACCAGGAGGGACCCACTGACCCTGAAGGCCGAGAGTGACATGTTTGGTTATAGGAGCCCAGTGTGGTTTTTAAGCTGGGTGACTTCAAAACTGCAGAACTCTACTTTCCATAGTTCAGGAGGCCAGGGAGGCCATTGGGGCCATCACCACCCCAATGATAGGTGGTGAGAACTGGCCGCTGTGTCACAGCTGACCCCTTCTTATAGTATCTCACGGCAAAGGAAGCAAATGAGCTCCCTTGGGCTTCTTTAACACAGGCTCGAACATCATTTGTGAGCTCTCTGCCCTTTGGACACAGGGAAACCCCGCCTCAGTACTGTTGCTATAAAGATTAGGTTTCACTATACGAGCTGGGGGAGGGCAATGTTAGTTGCTTTTCACATTGCTGTAACAAGATATCTGTTAAAAGAAGCTTAAAGGAGGAAGGATTGGTTTGGGTCCTTGGTTTGAGGATAGTCTATCATGCTGGAGAAAGCACGATGGCAGGAGCCGAGACAGCTGGCCACATTGTAGCCACAGTCAAGAACACAGGTTTACTGAGACCCACTTCACTTTGTCCTTGGGTGTTCAGTCTGGGGACCCCAGGCCACCATGTGGGGCCTTCCCACCTCGGGTAAGCCTCTCTAGGAACACTTGTGGAGACAAGAGGTGTGTCTCTTGGGAAGGACAAAATCTGTCAAATGGATGTTCCTGATTAGCCATCATGGGGCTGGAGAGACGGCTTAGCAGTTAAGAGCACATATGTTCTTGCAGACTGTCCGAGCGTGATTCCCAACACCCGAGTTGGCGACTCACTGTCTCCCATAACTTCAGCTCCAGGAAGATACAACACCTTTCTCCTCGAGAGCACCTGCCCTCACGTGCATATACAAGCACATGCACACACACATACAGAGACACAAACACAATTAAAAATAAAGTGAATCTTTCTTTAAGAACAACTGACCATTACAGGAGTGGACACTAACTTTCAGACCAAAGCAATAGATAAGAGACTCACTCCCATGTGCACAGGGAGGACAGAATCCATTCCCCACCAATCCCCTCTCTGCTCAGCCCTGAAGCCTTCTTCTATGCCCCTAGTGTGGAAGTGATCCGTTTGGGACAGAGCCACTTCATCAATTGGGACCTGCAGATGTACTATGCTGAGAAGGACACGCCTGCAAAGGCGAGGACCACCACGCTGAATGAGCAGCTGGGGCAGATTCATTACATCTTCTCCGATAAGACGGGCACGCTCACACAGAATATCATGACCTTCAAAAAGTGCTGCATTAATGGGCAAATCTATGGTGAGTGACAACTGTGAAGAGGGGAAGTCAGAACATATCCTTGTCGTAAGTGCACTGGGCGCTTGAATTCTTATCTTTCTGTGAAGTAACTCCAGAGATACTCTTTCACTTACCAGGCTCAGTTTTGGATCTGTAATAAGAGGAATGGTTGGCTGTAATGTAGGGGTTAGCAACAGCATCCCCTAGGTGCTGTCTGGAGTAGGCTCTGCCTTTCTGTGATTGGTGCTCTCCCTGTGTGGAGTCCAATTGCCAAAGAAACATGGACACTGTTGGGAACAGACTGACATACACACACATACACAGAGAAAGAAAGAGAGAGTAAGTTCAATAGTTAGATATAATCACCCCTCAAAAAATAAAAAAACTGAATTGCCACATGGTCTAAAAATTCTGTGTCTAGGAATAAATTCTGTTCAAAAGATTTGAAAAGGGCTGGAGAGATGGCTCATGGTTAAGAGCACTACTGGCTGTTCTTTCAGAGGTCCTTATTTTGATTCCTGATAACCACATGGTGGCTCACAACCATCTGTAATGAGAACTGGTGCCCTCTACTGGCATACAGGCACACACACAGGCAGACTACTGTATAATAAATAAGTAAATAAATAAATCTTTAAAAAAATTTTGAAAACAAGAACAAAGTGTGGTACAACATGAGTGAGCCCTCAGGACATTATGTTAAGCGATACAAGCTCACAAAAGGAGGTGTTATATGAGAGCACCTAGAATAGTCAAGTCACAGGACAAGGATGAGTACTGGTTGGAAGGGCAATAGGAAGTTAGTGTGCAGTGCTATAGGGTTCAGTTATCAAGATAAAGACAGTCTAGAGGCAGATAGGGATGGTAGCTGCATGAGACAACTACACTGAGTGTCACCGGGCTGTCCAGGAAGAAATGGTTCCAAAAGCTTATACTTGACTTCCATCCTACTTTTCTGAAGCATTCCTCACACACGGAAGCAGTAGTATTAAAGTCAATGTTGTCTTAAAATACAGATATTTAGCTTTTTTATTTTTTTCAAGAAATATACTTGCGTACATTTTTCCCCTTTAGAAAAAAAAATATATATATTTTTTATATATATATATATATATATATATATATATATATATATATATATATATATATGTACTGTGTTTCCTCATAACCAAGAAAGATGGGACACTATGGAGTTGAGGAATTTGTCACCATGGTGATGGCAGACTAAAGCATATCAAAGGACTCCATTCTGGTCCCAAAAGGGTATGGCGACACAGGTACCAGTATTTGAAATGACTCTGGCCATTATTTGGCCACTTCTTTTGGTGAAGAGCCAGACACAATATTGTAGCCTTTGCAGGCCACATAATAGTTTCCAGCATATTCTTCGTTCTTAGAATTATTGATGTATTTATTTAGTTAGTTTTTCAGATGGGATATCACCCTATAGCTCAGGCTCCCCTTGACCCATGATGATTCTACTTCAAGCCTTCTAAATGCGTGGCTTATAGGCATGAGCCATCAATGCCTGGGTCTAATACTCTTCTCTTTTTCATTTTCTTTCTAATTCTTTAACCCCAGAACCATCCAAAACCAAGGGTGAAATCAGACACTACAACTGCGTTAGCAGATCCAAGTAGGGTTGCTCTGTACACAGACTCAACTTGTTTTGTTTCTTAGGAGACCATCGAGATGCTTCTCAGCACAGCCACAGCAAAATAGAGGTGAGTGGTCCTGGGAAAGCAGCTGTTTGGTTATATTTCCTCCTCAGGCTGCTGGAAGGAACTGCCTCGGATTGGGGCGTAAGGCAGCAGAAACGTTATCTTTGCACAGTTCTGGAGACTGGAATCCAGATGTTGGTCTCTCCAAAAGTCCTAGAGGAGGCTTCATCCTGGCTTCTCCCTAGCCTCTGGTCATTGCCAACGGTCCTGACACCAGGCTACAGTCTGCTCTTGTCATGTGGGTTTCTCTGCCGTCACGTGTTTGGCTCTATCCATATTTGTCTCTTACAAGGACGTCCGCCTTTCCACCCTAATCCACATGACCTCTTCTTAACTTGGTTAGATTTACAGAGCAAATAAGGTCACATTCACAGGCACAGGTTGGGACGCCAACACGCCTGTGAGGGAGAACACAATTCAGCTCACCATAGTGTGCCTTTTGTTTTAGGCAAAATCTTCCTAAGACTTGGGACAAGAAAGAGGGGGCCTAAGGAGATGGTTTAGCAGGTAAAAGCAATTGCTGCTCCTCCAGAGGACCCGGGTTCAATTCCAGCACACATACAGCAGCTTACAGCCATGGGTAACCCCAGTTCCAAAAGATCAGACACTCCCTTACCCACTTCTGACCTCCATGGGCACCAAGCATATTCCATATATGTCCATGTTGCCAGAACACTCATACACAGAAAATAAAAAAAGAATGTGCTAAAATCCCAAGGTGACTATAACATAATTAAAAATTTTTAAAACTTGGCTACAAAGAAAATGGAATATCAGTTATTGATACAGATTTTTAAACCATTTGTTTGTACGTATGTGTGTGCATGTGTGGAGGTTCAAGAATAACTGTGTGGATCCCAGGTATCAGTGTCATTCTTGGGTTGCCAGCCTTGGCAGCAAGCGCTTTGGCCCCGTGAGCCACCTTGCTGTCTTTAATACCTGTTTTTTTGTTTTCATTAATGGCACTTTCTTTCCCTTTCCACTTTGTTCAGGTCGTGGATTTCAGCTGGAACACATTTGCCGATGGAAAGCTTGCCTTTTACGACCATTACCTTATTGAGCAAATCCAGTCAGGGAAAGAGCCAGAAGTTCGGCAGTTCTTCTTCTTGCTTTCCATCTGCCATACAGTCATGGTGGAAAGAACTGACGGTGAGTGCTCCTCTAGAGGCCACTTTTGGAGCTGACAGGTGACTCGTTTTAATCATTTTATTTCATTTCATTTTGGGGTAGGACTGGACTGGAAAAGTGCTTGTATGCTAGACAAATGCTTCTTGCAGCTCCAGAAAACCTTCTTACTTCTCAGGGTTGGCGGCTGATTTAGTTATAGCTCTGAATGGGTTATCACTTTGTAAAAAAAAAAAAAAATCTGTTAAAAGATATGGTTGGTAGCCTGGTGAGATGGCTCAGCCGGCACAGGAACTTACTACCAAGCCTGCCAACCTGAGTTTGATCCCCAGGATCCACATAGTAAGAGAGAACAGATTTTTATTGTACAAGTTCTTCTCTGACTTCTGTCTGACCTCCATATGCGTGCTAGACACACACACCACAGATACACATACATGCACACATAATAATAGAATAATAGTAATTAATAATCAATTTTTTAAATGGTTGACTATTGAATAAAATAACTTAAATTTTTTCCTTCTACAAATTTTTATGGAGAATGTATAATCAGGCTTTATCTGTATCGTGAATGGGCTTCAAACTTAAGCATTATTTTCTACAAATTCAGATGTCTGCTTTTGTTCTTGAGCTTAAAATTATTTGGAACTTATATTAGATCAGCCAAAACCTGGGCCTCTTTACTCATTTGATGGAACAAGATTAAAGAGAATTTGTGAGTGGACAGCAAGGAACTCTTTTTTTTTTTAATTTTTTATTAATTACACTTTATTCACTTTGTATCCCCCCTGTGGTTCCCTCCCTCCTCCAATCCCAATCCCTCCCTTCCTCCACCCTCTGCATGCATGCCCCTCCCCAAGTCCACTGATAGGGGAGGTCTTCTTTTCCTTCCTTCTGATCCTAGTCAATCAGGTCTCATCAGGAGTGGCTGCCTTGTCTTCTTCAGTGGCCTGGTAACGCTGCTTTCCCCTCAGGAGGAGGTGATCAAAGAGCAGGCCAATCAGTTCATGTCAGAGACAGTCCCTGTTCCTATTACAATGGAACCCACTTGGATACTGAACTGCCATGGGCTACATCTGTGCAGGGGTCTTATGTTATCTCCATGCATAGTCCTTGTTTGGAGTATCAGTCTTAGAAAAGACCCCTGCGCTCAGAATTTTTGGTTCTGTTGCTCTCCTTGTGGAGTTCCAACAGATCTTACTGTTGCAGTTTGTGCCAGCTTTGTCAGAGGAAACCTAGACAGTGAAAACTAGTTATTTTATCATACATGGACATAAATTCTCTAATTGTCTAGATGGACAAATGCATCATGGAAAGAGTAAAAGGCGCATACTTCAGTCTATTCTCCCTTTTTACTTCAGTCCCCACAGAGCCTCTCATGGAGTCCCAACACTGATGTTTCATATGTAGTGATAGGAAACACTCCTGTGAAGGCATACATGGAATACTACCTCTCAGCAAGTCTCCGAGAAATCCATTCTTCAAGGATGAAACAAATCAGTAAAGCAAAAGAGCACAGTTCAAGCAGGAGGGGTCTGGGAGAGGGGCTGTTTGTGGCAGCGTGGGAAATAACAGAAGGGGGGAGAATGCCAAAGTGGGGTTCAGTGTCTGGCTAGCCAAGCAAATATGACTTTTAGAACCGGACCTGAGTTCAGAGCAAGAAGTGGCTGGAGCCATCATTCCAGCCCCACATTTTTGTTTTTATTGTGGCAGCATCCATCGATGGGTCTGTTAAGAAAAGCTTTGGGGTTGCCTCTAAGAGTACAATTAAAGAAAGTTTTCTTCAGAGGCATGTTTGGCCCTCCACATTTCTCCTGCAGGTATAAAAGTGAGAGTTGGATTGGATCTCAAATGTTCTTCCAAGTCTGTGATTCCACAACCGGAACATTTTCCTTTAATAATGAAAACATCAATGTTTGGGCTGCAGATAGGTTTGCCCAACCCATGGAGACTCCACCACCTTTCATTATTTTGTTTCCTTTCTCTGTCAATATTAGGGAGATATTTATGTCCCAGCTAAGTGAAAACATTGAAGAAAGATGCTCTGTTCTCACTGCTGCTTGCATAGCACTGGGCAAACAGTGCTGGCATGCGTGTCTTTGCACAGGACCCGGCTGTAGGCAAGCACGCCCGTGACTTCCAGTGTGTGGCTTTCTGGAAAATAGCTATCTGTTACAAACTGGAAAGTGATTAGTACTGGCATGAGCAGGACCAGTGGCGTCTGTAGTTCCAGCTCTTCTGGAGGGAAGATGGCATGAGCTGAAGACCCGCTTGAAGAGCACAGTGACACCCCCCGTACATACACACACACACACACACACACACACACATACACCCCAAGATTGAAAGAAACAAAAACAGAGTAAAAATGCTGACTTGATAGGAATGAATTCTCTGAGCCAACATGAGAAAGGGTTCCATCTACAGCTGCTGGCCCTGGAGCATTCTACCCTTCTAGATACACTGAAGGGAAGACGCTGCCAGCACATCTGTGCCCTGTGTTCTCATTGAAAAACTAAATGCCTTTTTCTGTAAAACTGGCTGTGGAAATGCTTTTCCTTCTATTTTGAGGCAAATTAATTAGGGACAGGAAACAAACAATTTACCATATATATATATATATAGTATATAATTATATATATATACCATATATATATATTCTTCCTTTAAGTATAACATATGACAAACACATATACATCATTGCACAGCTCGGTAAATGGGTCCTTATAGCAAACACCCAGGTTTATAAGATATCCTATAAACACATACACACATACACACACGTTTTTTACATGCATACTCAGTGATGATTACAACTTTATTTTTAAGGACCAGAAATTTTGGAAATAAACCAAATAGCATTTCTTTTGCATTCCCTCCTCAGGTCAAATCAACTACCAGGCAGCCTCTCCTGACGAAGGTGCCCTGGTGAATGCCGCCAGGAACTTTGGCTTTGCCTTCCTCGCCAGGACGCAGAACACCATCACCGTCAGTGAACTGGGCACAGAAAGGACCTACAGTGTGCTTGCCATTTTGGACTTCAACAGCGACCGGAAGCGGATGTCTATCATCGGTGCGTCTCTACCTCGGGCTCTACGAGTCCTCAACTCCATGCGCCTTTTCTGCATTTTTCTCAGTGGTGCTTCAGTAAAGGACATGAATCGACAACTGACTTCTGAAAGGTGTCCAGATTTACTGAAGCTGGTGTCTCTCTGTTCTTCCCTCTGCTGCTGCTCACGAGGACGGCGGTGGCCTTCCTGAATCCGCAAATGTGGTTGGCGTTCCCTGGCCTTAAGCCCTTGAGCTGTGAAGTCTGAAGTAGCTGGAGAAGCACAGCCAACAGTGCTGGCCCAGACCTAGCAATCGTTTACTTTTGTCTCCTGCCAACGCTTCTCTGCTTGAGGCTGGGAAAGGAAGGCCCCAACAGGAAAGGCCACCAGACGGAGATGAGGGTCTCAAGACATTCTGTATTTGAATTTCTTTTTCTAAGTTACTTGAAATAACTTCCAACCTACAGGAAAATTATGAGGCTGGTTGGTGGTACTTTCCTGTGTTCATTAATTCTACCAGTTTTTAACATCGTCTCCAGCTTCTTTGTCAGTTTGATTACAGACAGAGGTGACTGTCTTCTGAACTGCTTGAAAGTAAATTACAGGTCCAATACTTCTTCCTTCCCATGTATGCATTAGAGGTATTCCCTACCAGCAAGAAGGGCAGATGCATGCAAGTAGTCAGAATCAGAAACTTGCGCTGATACAGCAGCATGCCCTGCAACCAACAGCGCACAACATGGTGTGAGCTTAAAGACAGGAAGGAAAGAGTCCTATGGGTCAGTGTGGAAAAAAAAAAAAAAAAACTGTGTGGAAGGTATTAGTTTTCATAAGACATTGCACATAGTATGGAGCCTGTAAATGCTTGTTAAAAGGATATAGAAAACTAAAGTGACCTGGAATGAATGATTTCATATGTGTTTCATTACTTCATTCCATGAAGGTGGTAGCCTGCCAACTTTGTTGAGGAAAGCACTTCAATTCACGTGACACATGTGGGTTTTTTTATTATTATTATTAATTAAGAAACCAAGCCTAACTTTATCATTGCTTTTCCTTCCCTTGCTTCCAGTAAGAACCCCGGAAGGCAGCATCAGGCTGTATTGTAAAGGTGCGGACACCGTCATTTATGAACGACTCCACCGGATAAATCCCATGAGGCAAGAAACGCAGGACGCCCTGGATGTAAGTCTCACTTCTGCTCTTTCTGCGAGAGATCCCGCTCCTGCCTTCGAGGACTGTCTCTCCAACCATGTGAAAACTGTGCTTGCGGTTAGCAAACCCTCACTTCGCTCTGGTGTCACGGGCAGGAAACACCAAAGTAGGAACATAATGGGCCATCGTTTGGCTTTTGCTGCCAACGTCCCAGAAAATGACGCCCTTTCTTAGCATCCGAGTCTTACAGGGCTGATGCAGGGGAATAATAACTCATCACTCATTAACCCAGTGAGCTTAAGCAAGGGGCAGCTGCTCTGAGCTGTAGACTTAATGCCTCTATGGTCACCAAGAGTTTTACCCAACTCTAGATATAGAGTGAAGGAAAGAAAGCATTTCTATGTATGTCAGGATAATGAAGCAAAGTATTGGATCCCTGAGTTCTGATACCTTTGCTGTAACATTTATAGTCCATCGCTGCAAAACATTGGCTTAGGGACCTCCATGCTTACTCCCTATTGAGCTACTAGATGTATCTGAAACTCGCACTTTGGGAACTTCCCACCACTTCTGCTTTAGGTTTATATGGTGGTGGTGAGATCCTGAGGAGATCCATTAGAACAGTGTCCTTTTTCTGCCTTCTTACCGATCTTGTGTCTTTGGAATGAATACTTATAATACTGTATGAAGCATCAGTCTCCATGTGAAGAGTGAAGGGAAAAGTTCTGCTGTGACAGAATGTTGCAAGAGAGAGCCCAGTTTCCTGTAGTAAGTAGGTCCTCAGGAAATGGTTGTTTCAGTCAGCCAACGCCCTTTGGAGAGAAGCCTGGTAAGTGTGATATTTACCGAGTAGGGTCGTACTTTCAGGTTATACCTATTGACAATGAGTGCGTTCTCGTGAGAATAGAGCAAAGCTGGTGTGATCAACGACATGAAGATCCTTCCAAAGAGTCTTTGGAAGCCAGCCTGTGGTTGAGCCTGCTCTGCTGTCTTAGCTATAGAAGATGGGACTTTGAAGTGAAGACCTTACTGGTTTAGATAGAAAACTGTGTGAACCTGCTCATCACATTTCCAGATACCCTTTTCGTTGACGCGTGATATAGCTGGATATAGCGTGATATATTGGCAATTTTAGAATTTGGTTTTGGTTTCAGTGTTTGGCTGAGAATTCATAGTTGATTGGACTTGAGACACAGTTTGAAGGAAGGAGTTCTGAATTTGCCAAGTCTCTGTGTACACCATGATCACACTCTTATTTTGTTAGCCATTAAGAGCAAAGAGTTTGCTTGTTTTGTGACTTGATTTAAAAGAAAGGCAGACTTTTCTTTGCTTCATCTAATTTGGGTGCTAGAAATATAGTACAGAGAACCCCTGAGATGCTTAGAAAAACAAAATCAACTAGAACGCCAAGTTTAATCTCGCTATACAATCCTTCATAGCCCGTGGGCTCTGTAAATTCTCTTAATATAATACCTCAATGTAAGGTTTCATACTTAGTCTACAGAAAAGTAAATCAAGAATGGTTCTTGGGACCCTATGAGATGGCTCAGCAGGAAAAGGCACTTGCCTCCAGGATGGATGGATCCCACACATGTGCCGTGGTGTGCGTGTGTGCATGTATGAACTCATACCTGTGTGCGTACACACACATAGAGCATAAATGTAGTTTTTAAAATGAATCTTTTGAAATGTAATTATTCTTTGAAATGTAACTATTCTTTTGTCCTCTAAATAAAACAGATCTTTGCAAGTGAAACTCTCAGAACCCTGTGCCTGTGCTACAAGGAAATTGATGAAAAAGAATTTGCAGAATGGAATAAGAAGTTTATGGCTGCCAGCGTGGCCTCGACCAACCGGGATGAAGCTTTGGATAAAGTGTATGAGGAGATTGAGAAGGATTTGATTGTGAGTTCAGCCCTAATAACTTTCTCCCTGATATTTTTAAGACTTTACATCTTTGGTTTATCATGGTTTGGAGACAGTTCTGTGATGTGCTCAGTTGGTACAGATAGCGACATCATATGAAATTTTCTTGTTCAGAAAACAAAATAAAAGTTAATATCATAGAACAGAAACCAAAAGAGAAAACACTTGGGTTTTTTTGTTAGTTTGTTGGTTTTGGTTTTTTGGGTTTTGGTTCTTGTTTTTGGTTTGTTTTTTTGAGGCAGGTTTCTTGCTATACTGCCATGGCTGGCCTAGCACTCACTTTGTGGTTCAGACTAGCCTTGAACTCAAAGCGGTAGAGAAATTTCATTTGGTATTTAAACGGCAACAAACTAGCAATTAGTGGTTTTATTGAGAAAATCACTAAAGCAATTTAATTTAAACTATGGAAAAGTTTATAACAAAACAATTAAAATGTTTCCAATATCATACAGGGTTTTCTTGAATTTTTTAACATTTACTTATTTGTGTACATGAATATTTGCATGTATGCCTGCATGACAGAAAAGGGTGTCAGATTCTAGGTAGTGAGCCACCATGGGGTTGCTGGGAATTGAACTCAGGACTCTGGAAGAGCAGCCAGTGTTCTTATCTGCTGAGCCATCTCTCCAGTCCCAGCTTTCTTGAATTTATATTAACGGAGATAATCAACAAAAGGGTAATGCTGCCTTTAGCTTGAGAAACAGGCTTATGTTCATCCAGCCCAAAACACAAGGAAAGTGGGTCTTTAACATCATGTACTTTTTTTATTTTGGGAGAGGCACTCATCATGTAGCCCAGGCTAGCTTCTAATGGGCTAGCTTCTAATGTGGATGAGCCTCCCACCTCTGCCTCCTTAGTGCTAGGTTTTCAGGGTCAGGCCCCACCCAACCTGTGTCTAGACTTGCCCTTTCTGCCTTGGTGAACTAAATCCTTTAAGGAGCACATTTTCAGATACTTTGGTTTGAGACGAGTAGGCAGTGTCCCAGCTCTCGATGGAGGTGCCAGCCGTTGCCATCAGAGCACCAGTCAGCCTGCAGGACTAGCTCTTCTTCTTACAAGTTGGCAAACTGCACACAATGACATTTTCACATGCTAATTTTTTAAAATCTCTGTTCCAGCTCTTGGGAGCTACCGCTATTGAAGACAAGCTACAGGATGGAGTTCCAGAAACCATCTCCAAACTTGCAAAAGCTGACATTAAGATCTGGGTGCTCACAGGAGACAAAAAGGGTAATTCGTCATGTGGGGGTGCATCTACTCAGACATGATAGTTATAGCTGCTGTTTCCTTTGCCCGAGATGACCTTTGCAGACTCCACACCCTGTGGGAGTGGAGCTGGTCCCTCCTCTTAAAAACCCTCCTCCTTCTCCAGCCCCCACTGACTGCATCCTTCCCTCAGCAGAACAGGTTGTTTCTTAGGATTTAAGCCTGGTTTTGTCTCATCTCTGCAACTAGAGGTGAGCTCCTATTCGGGAAAGGCCATGCCCTGTCCCTGCTGTCTCTCCAGCGAATGGCTGTCTGCTATTTGTTGAGCATAGACTAAAACAACAAAAACAACAAAAAGCTGCCACAGCTTTGGTTTTTCCTGCCTATCCCATGTCTTCAAAATCATAGCAAACATTTTATGCGCTAGGAAATTGTTAGCATTGAAACGTAGAGCTGAATGGGTCATTGCTCAGTGCTGATGCTTTATTCTCCAAGCCCTCCTCCGAAGATTGCTGTCTCTTGCTCCAATACTCTCCCAAGGGAAGCACAACCCTGGCCTTTGACAAAGACCTAATGGGTGTTAATGGAAAAAAGGAAAAGGCAACTTCAGCAGCAGCCCTGTGAGGGTTCATGGAAACAGTCATTTTCTCCCTAACCCTTAACTTGTGTGATTAAGCCACGGGGTATGAATGGACTCATTATATATAACCAGCTTCTGGGCTTGATGGCACAGTACATTTGATTGTTAAGAGTGTCTCAAACTAGACTTTGACTTATTTCATTGCAGAGAAAAGTTATTCTTCTTTATGTGGTTTTGTTGCTTGGCTACAGAAAAACAGCATATTTGATTGACTGTGGTTATGCTCTCGAGTTGAAAATGTTATCTAGAAATCCCTCAAAGGCTTAAAATCTGAAACTCTTTGAGCCCTGAGATGGTGCCACCTGACCTCCTGATACACAGGTCACAGTCAAAATGCATGCAGTTTCTATAAAGCTGCGTAAGTGATTTGTATAAAATTGCTCTCAGGCTGTGTGTATAAGGTTCATCTGGAATAGAAGAGATTTCATGTTTAGGCTTTCAGGCTTGCATTCCATCCTCTAGATAAGGTGTGTGTGTGTGTGCACGCGCACGCTCGTGCACACACTCCAAAGTCCAAAATCTCAAACACTTCTGGTCCCAAGCATTTCAGATAAGGGATACTTAACACAGTTTAGATAAGTAGAAATAACAGTTGACTTAATTCTAATCTGTTGCAGAAACTGCGGAAAACATAGGCTTTGCCTGTGAACTTCTGACAGAAGACACTACTATCTGCTATGGGGAGGACATAAAGTAAGTACCCATCAGGGAAGGGTGTAAATTAAGTACCTGCTGTGGCTGGACATAAGCTAAGTGCCTGCTTTGGGAGGGCTGGACCTGCAGGAAGTACTGGACCCGCAGCAGGTAAGGATATAGTACCTCGGATTCTTTGTTTGTTTGTTTTTTAACAAAGTCAAGATGAGATGCAGAAGGCAGAAAATCCAAAGAGATTGGAACTAGACCATGTCCTTGGGTCTCTTTCTTATGTTCAAATGAAACAGGCATTCCTGTGTGTTACCATGGCTCAGCTCATTTTGAACAAATCCCAGTCTTAGGGTGGGGGCCCAGGAGTTTTAAGGAACCATTTTTCTCTATTCTTTAGAAACACTCTTTATTTGTCTACTGCAAAAACAAAGCAAAACAGTGAGCCTGGGAGTGCAGGTGCCCGCAGCCATACCCAGCTTTCCACGTGAGGGCTGGGCATCCAAACTCAGGTCTTCATGTCCATATAACCCATCTCCCAACCCCGTAGCTAGCAAATTAATATGAATTATGTTTATGTCCATTTTCTAGCAACTTCATCTTTTGAAAGAGGTTTAAAAAAAAAAGTCCCAGAATGAATGTTTCAGTGAGTTATATCATATATAACTTTTATTGGTAGCCTCTAGGAGAACATGCCTGATATTCCAAGCCATGGCTTACACTGGGACATTCATTGGCCACTCACCAGTTCCATCAGACCTGGAAAGGTGTAATGTGAAGGCACAGTCTTATTACAGGCTGAGAGTGTTCCTATGATGCATTTACTGCTGGCTTAATCGCTCCGCTTATTCCTCAAGCGTGTTTTTCCTCACAGTCTTGTCTAATGGCACTAAGTAAAATTGAGCTGTTAATGCTCATCTGCTGTGAGTTCTAACCCAGGATGGAGTTGGTGGGCCGTTCTAATGCAGACAGCCATCTCTGTAAGACATTCCAGCGCATCAGGCAGTTTGCTAAGGTAGACAAAGCTAGCAGTTTTGTGGTCTAAATCCCTTCTGTTTGAAAAAGAAAGAAAAAAAAAGCAAAGCACATAAACCATGCCTCTTTGAACTTGCAAGTTTTTTTTCTTTTTAAATACCAGCAAGCATGCTTCCTTAAGTGGTTTTTGATTTAAAGCATTTTGGTTCAATACCATATGGCTTTATTTAGTTTTTATACATAGGGCACATTTGATAACATTTTCCATCTCTCTTTTGAAAGTGTCAGATTGGGTCTAAGCCGAAATAAACGACAAGTTTATACAGACTTCAAATTTCACGATCATTTTTTTCAGCCAACTTTCCATCTGTAAGGAGATGAGCCGTCCTTCTAGATGGCTCGTTGAAATGATGGTTCCCATCAAATAGTTTGAGTAGGCATAGTCATGCATTGGTCTCCTGCAGTCTCTCAATGACTTGTAGTACTCAACCATTTTGAACGTGAAAGTAAAAATGAAAATGAAATTGATGTGGAGAGAAGTTAATACCTAATCCTCTGAGCAGTGCTTCTTAAGGTTTTGTTTTATTGATAATGATGATGATACATGCCATATGTGGAAGAGGTCAGAGGACCACTGACTCAGTTCTCTCCTTCTGCCTCTACATAGTTTTCATGGGTTCTGGGGGAACAAACTTTGGCTTGTACAACAGACATCTTTGCTCACTGAGCCATCTCACTGGCCTTGGCGCAGTGGTTCTGAGATTGATTTTTGCCTTTCAAGCACCATTGACAGTGTCTGCAGACTTCTTTGGTGGGTGTAGGAAGAGGGTCCTAACTGGGCAGAAGCTAGGACTATGTTAAACCTTACAGAAAGGATATATTTTATAGCAGGTGACCATGTAGGGTGGAGAATTATCTGGCTCAAGATGCCAATAGTGCCAAGGTTGAGAACCTGCTTCTGAAGGTGAAGAGTAATTAATGGTGGTGTGTGTTTAATGGGAAAACATCAGGCTGAGTGGGGAGCCCTGAATCCTCTTACCAGATTTTCCGTTGGCTCCCTACAAGTAAAAATCACATCACCTCTTTCTGCCTTCGTTTCCTGATTTGTAGAATGAGGTGGTTGGCCTCTTCCATTCTAAAACTCTCTGGTTCACTTTTCCCATCATATGGAAATGTTATGATAATTTACTGATTTAAAGCAATAAGAAGGCTGAGGAGGTGGCTCAGCAGTTGAGAATACATACTGCTCTTGCAGAGGACCTGAGGTCAGCTCCCTGTACCCATGTTAGGCATATCAGGAACCCACATATATGTGACAAACATTCACACATACACATACCTATACATAACTAAAAATAAAAATAAAACTTAAAAAAAAAATAAAGCAGTGATACCAGATGGTGGTGGCACACACCTTTAATCCCAGTACTTGGGTGACAGAGCCAGGGGGTTATCTCTGAGTCCCAGGCCAGCCTGATGTACAGAGCAAGTTCCAGGACAGCCAGGGTTGCACACAGAAACTCTGTCTCAAAAAAAAAAAAAACAATTAAAGCACTTCTAATTTTGAAAAGCAGATATAATTCTGAGAATGTGGAAATAAGCTTTTTTCTACTATACAGTAGAGTAATGAAATTCACATTGAGACTGCCTCCCTTCTCTTGCTTATGTTACCTGTATCATTATCTGGGTCTTTGACAAGTGGTAAAATACCAAAGACGCGGTGCCCGTGGTGGAGGAGTCAGCACTGAGACATTTCTTCACACTGTGGCCAAGGGGCACACAGAAGCGCTCAGCATCGTGAACTGTTAGGAACAGGCAGCTCAAAGCCACAGAGCGTGATTTATTCCGGGATGGCCAGAAAAGAAAGAAAGACACATAATAACAAGTGCAGGGTGGCTGGGAAGATCAAGGCTGAGGTGTGCGTCAGTGGCCTGAAGTGTGTGTGGCTGCTAAGTGCTGGTGAGGCTGCAAGGAGTGGAACACTGGCTGGCAGGCGTGGGTGGAGCGAGAGCATGTGAACATGGTATGGGCATTAAAAAAACCAGAATTTTCGTATTGTTCAGGAGTCCTACCCTGGGTACTGACTCAGAAGAATTGAAAGCAGCCACGTTTATATAGCGGTGTTCACAACAGCCAAGAGATAGAAGCAACCTGCGTGTCCATTAAAGTATGATTTGGATAAACAAAAATCCACATGTCCAGACAGTGGAATGTCACTTACCCTTCCAAAGGGAAGACAGTATGATATATTGTTGTATATAGCATTGATGGACTTGAAGCCATCAGTGACATGAGCCAGTCACAAAACAGGTGAGCCTGACAGACTGACTGCCCAACATGTGAATAGTCCCAGCACCACTGAACGACACACTCAACGGTGTGAAAAATGTCCCGCTGGGTACGTTGTAGACCAGGCTGGTCTTGAACTCACAGAGAGCCACCTGCCTCTGCCTCCCAGAGTGCTGCGATTAGAGACATGTGCCACAGTGCCTGGCTGGTAGTGTATATCTTTAATCCTAGCACTTGGATTAAATATATGTATTTGAGACAGAGTTTCACTGTTATCCCTGGTAGGTATGGAACTTACTATATAGACCAACCGGCCTTGAACTTACCAATTCCCCTGCCTCTGCCTCCGAAGTGCTGGGATTAAAGGTATGCACTACCATGCCTGGCCCTAGACTTTAATATATAATATATTATATGTATATACACACACACACATATATATATATGTGTATATATATATATTAAAGAGAGCCTTTTATAGTCATGTGTTTTAAATACTTCAATTTCTTTTCTCCTAGTTCTCTTCTTCACACCAGGATGGAGAATCAAAGAAACAGGGGTGGAGTCTCTGCGAAATTTGCACCCCCTGTGTATGAACCCTTTTTTCCACCTGGAGAAAACCGGGCCTTAATCATCACTGGCTCTTGGTTGGTGTGTATCAGTAGTGTATCTTCACCTGTCACTCAAACAAATCCATTGGGACCATTCTTGACGGTGTTGCATGTCAGTTCCTGTCAGTCTAAAAGTCTATTAGCCTGTGAAAACAAGTGTGACTTTTCTAAGTTTGAGTCTTAGTGTTAGAGAGTACTTAAAGGGGATTAGAGCAAAATGGTGAAAATGATTTTCCAGGTATTTCAACAAGTGTAAGTCTTTTTGTCAGAGCAGTATAATCAGTGTTATAACCCACAACCTTTCCTTCCCATGACTCAAATCTTGGGAGTGGTACTCTTGCTTTAAAAGCTAAGGTGGTCGGTGATGCTTTCTCCCTCCGGTGTCCCAGAATGAAATCCTTCTGGAGAAAAAGACCAAGAGAAGTAACATCCTGAAGCTGAAGTTCCCCAGGACGGAAGAAGAGAGGCGGATGAGGAGCCAGAGTAGGAGAAGGCTGGAAGAGAAGAAAGAGCAGCGGCAGAAGAACTTCGTGGACCTGGCCTGCGAGTGCAGTGCCGTCATCTGCTGCCGTGTCACCCCCAAGCAGAAGGCCATGGTGGTAGACCTGGTGAAGAGGTACAAGAAGGCCATCACACTGGCCATTGGAGACGGGGCCAATGATGTGAACATGATCAAAAGTGAGTTGTGTGTGGGTGGCTTGGGACACCCACTTTTCTGGACAGAGGTGGTAGGAATGAGAAGGGGTTGTGTCTTCCGCTCCCATGCCTGGGGCATCATACGTTAGACGTCACTGGAAGCATTTAGCCATGCCCTACCTTGACCTACTTTCAGGAAGCCTGCAGTATGTCCGACACGGGTGGGACTTGCTGAAAGTCAAGTAAGAGATGAACTATAGCTGGGAAAACCATTGTCTCCTTTATGTGCAGTGTGACCATTTTTTTCTCAGGATGGTTCGTCTCCCATACTCTGAAGGGCTTAACAAAAGAGCTTAATTTTAAACTTTTTGTCTATCATGATTAAGAACTTAGGTGCCCTGTAAATAAAATTGATTTTTTTTCCTTAATGCAATTTAAAAAAAACCTTGATATGCAATAAATTCTGCAGGAGATTTTAACTGCACTCAGCATGAGCTGTTAGCTCTCTCTGGTATTTATTTTAAGAATATGATTCTTCTTATGTAAGCTGTGAAAAAAGCATTCTACCACACTCTCATGGTCTTGATCTCCCTAGCAGACAGCCCATGGTCTTTTCTCCAGTTGGAGGATCTGAGCTACTCACCATGGAAGGACTATCATGGAGAGGCCTGGTTACACTGGCATTAGAGCGTGCAGACCAAAGCTGGGGTCCTCACCCATGTGTCCAATCCTGCTGCTGCTTTTTTTTTTTTTTTTTTTTTTTTTTTTTGACTATAGTATACTAGGTATCACAGGTAGATTATCTCCTAGCCAAACTACTTGGAATCAGAAATGTTTCAGATTTTGGAGACATTCCAAATTATGGGGGAAAATTACATTTGTTTTACTTTTTAAGTGTGCTCAGATCTTTTCACACATTGGAGCATATTAGATTTTGAGGTGTAGATGCTCAACTTTTAGTGCTGTGAAAGCACCCAAGCTGCCTTCACCTGAGTCTCTCTTTCCTACCAAACTCCTATGTCAACTGGCTTCAGCACAGGTCCATTTTCTCCTCTGAAACAAGAAAATTACCTTCTCTGTCTTCTAACTCTGTGATCTTACCTTGTTGCTGTTAGGTATTTTACAACTCACACGTCTATCTCTTTCTTTCCTCAGGGTCCTCTCTCCTTTCCTCCTTGGTCTGTGCTAAGAGTCTCCCAATCCTGTCTTCTTCAGCGGAAGCCATCTGTATGACGTATGTCTTCTTGCTTTTTACCAGTGCGCATATCTGTTGCCGGTTTCACCCCCCTCCACTCTCTGCTCTGTGCCCCATCCCATGGCACAGATGCCACTGCCTGCTCTGAATTAGATCCCTCCTTGCTCTCCTCTGTGGCCAGCTCTGGATTACTGTCCCATTTGTGTCCTTTTATGACTGTAACTACCTGTGTCAAGAGAATAACTCAAACATGATTTTCATTCAGTTACAATGTAGACCTTTAGATGTCCTGGAAGGGAAGAGGCCTTACAGACCTGTCACTTTATTAAATAATGGAACCTTCAAAGATTTCCTTCCTGGTTTTGCTGTCTGTCTTCGAGAAAGCATAGCAAGGGAATATAGCTAAACTCCATGAGGGCCCATTTTTCTGAAGTTGTTTAAAACTTTTATTTTAAATCTTCTATTTATTTATTTTATTTTATTTTATTTTATTTGTGTGTGTGTGTGTGTGTGTGTGTGTGTGTGTGTGTGTGTGTGTGTATGACTTAAGGAGCATCCATTTGGGATAAAAATACAGAAAACTGAGATCTCCTTAGAAGTTGTCCAAACAATATCTGTGCCTGTTTCTGTTTGTAAAAAGTTTTCTGCTGTATCAAGAACAATGTATACAGAGAGACAAAATTCCCATGTTCTCTCTCATATACAGATTCTAGCTTATAATGTTTATATGTGTGTGTGTAACTGGGCACAAGTGTAGGCCAGGTTATGGCATAGCCTGGGGTAGGAGGTTTTGAAGAACGTGGGGGCAGGCAGTAGGGCAAATGAGATGTAGACAGAAAGAAGACCGTGGGAAAGGGAAGAAGGGCACAGGGCTAGCACTCAGAGGAACAGGAAAGAAGAGGAGCTAGAGGAGAACCAACAGAAACATATTTTGTTTAAGAATGCCATAACAAAACTTAATGCTCTGTATGCTAATCTGAAGAACAATCTAAAAAGAACAATGTGCACTGAGCTAGCAAGATAGCCCAGCAGGTAAGGGAGCTTGCTGCCAAGCCTGGTGACCTGAATTCACGCTCTAGAACCTATAGTTAAAGGCCAGAACCAATTCCTGAAAGTTGTCCCGTGACCCCCACACATGTGCCCACCACACACAAAACCATACACACTCACACCCGCGCTCACACACTCCCTTGGGGTGATGATAATAACTTGTTGAGAGAGCAATATATGGAAAGGAGGGAGTGGAATCAAGGTGTTGAGAGTAATCTGACGGCAGCTGGTATGTTTCATGTGCTCTCATAGAAATACAGAACACGCCACCACACTTTTGCCCCTAGCAGCAATTTCACAGACTCCTGCCTGAAGATGTCTCACCCAGGCTGGGTGAGTGCTGCCTCTCCTTGGTCTTAGATCCTGAGAATACGCATCAATTGTGGGAGAAGAAATGAAGGCAGAAAGCTTTAAGGCTGTAATTAGTTTTGAGGGATTATGAAGGTGTGTTTACTAGCGGGACACACATCTTCTAGAACCCCCTTGAATACTTCCCACTTCTACCTTCCTTTCTTTTCTTTTCTTTTCTTTTCTTTTCTTTTCTTTTCTTTTCTATTTTCTTCTTTTTAAAAAGAGTCCAGAGTTCAATTAGTACTGCCGATACATGCATGGGTGTGGCCCACTGTACCTACTAGTAGCCACAGCCTTGAAGAAAAATTATTCCCCAACTCCCATCAGCCATCAACCAACTGGCAGTAGCTCCTTGGGTAGGGCTAAGACTTCACCAGCCCCTCGTTACCCATCCTGGAATTACTGACTGCTTGGATCTTTCTCGTACAAGTCTTAGACAGGTAACCACAGCTACCGTGAATCCACGAATGTAACAGACATGCCATCTTTTTTGTTCGGTTAGTTTAGTTTGGGGGGGGGGGGGTGTTTGTTTGGTTTTGGTTTGTTCAAGACAGGATTTCCCTGTGTAGCAGCCCTGGATGTCCTGGAACTCTCTTTGTAGACCAGGCTTGCCTGAACTCACAGAGATCCAGCTACCTATGCCTCCCAAGTGCTGGGATTAAGCCTGGTGACATGTATCTTGAAGGCAGTATTTCACAGAATTCCCTACGCATCCTCCAGTCTTATATTCTTCCTACTCATCTTTCCAGTGTTTCCTGAGGGTGTGAAAATAGATGTTCCATTCAGAGCTGAGCAGGCAACAGTCACTTACTCTCAGCACTTTGACCATTTATGAGTCTCTGCACCAATAGCTGCCCAGTGCAAAACCGAAACCAAAAAAGTCTCTGTCCAAAGTTGAGAGCAGCAACAGTTTATGGAAATTGATGTAATTGTTTAGAAGGCAACTAGACAACATGATCTTTTAGCAAAACAACAGTACTAGAGTCTGTGTTTAGATTTTAGCAGGAAACAGTGTTGCCTTAGAGTTCATTGGTCCTGAGTTACCCCCTGAGCTGTGTCAATGTGCCTTTTCACACACTGCTCCATGGATAAGTGAAAGGACTGGAGACCAGAGCCTAGGACAGAGTGTCTCTTTCCTAGAGTGGCTCTTGGCAGCCCACTGGGAATCTCAGCATTTCTCTCCGTTGCTTCTTCAGGGAGGAAAAGGCCCAAGGTTGGGTAAGAAAGCAGTTTGGCAAACACAACGGGTTGTAAGCACTATTTATGTGTTTTGAAAATACTTGTAAATCAGTAGATGAGGTCTAATTTGTTCATCCTTCCCTCTTCTCCCCTCCCCTCCCTCTTTGTTTCCTTCCTTCCAATTTCTTTTCCTTTTCCCTCCCTCCCCCTTTTATTCTTTTTCTCTCTCTCCCCCTCCTTCCTTCCTTCCTTCCTCCCTCCCTCCCTCCCTCCCTCCCTCCCTCCCTTTCTCTCTTTCTTTCTTTCTTTCTTTCTTTCTTTCTTTCTTTCTTTCTTTCT